TAGGCGGACCTGAGGATGTCCCGGAGGACGCACGCGGGACACACCGCTGGCTCTCTCACTCCTGCCCATGCAGTACCTCTCAGGGGACCGCGCGTGCATGCTTCTAGTTCATGGGCCCACAGACAACTCAGAGCCACTTGGCAGTTTACACACCTCTCTGCCTCTCTCACCTCCAGGACTAGGCGGTCACCGAGGTCCAGAGAAGTCATACAGATCCATACTCCAGAGTGCTGGGCATCCTGGCTGTGTGGCTTTAGGCAAGTTTCTTACCCCCGCTGAGCAAAGCAGAAATCACTGTGCCTATGCCCCAGGGCTATGGTGAGAGTTAAGTGAAAGGGCCCAGGTAAGCTCCCAGCATCCTTTAAGAGCACAGAGTTAAACTAGTAGTGGCTGGAATTCACTTCCTACTTCTCCCTTACCTGATTCCACTAATGCCCATCCATCCTGGGAGGGCTGCAGGCTGGGGGTGTCAGGTGGTGCAATGTCCCTTGGAAAAGACCCTCCACGCCACAGTGCAGCACTCTGAGCAGCCTTTGGAGACCAGCCCCAAGTGTGAATGCCAGTGAGGATGGGACCCAAAGTTATTGATTGGCACAACCCTCCACCGAGGTCACACAGAATAGCAACACTTGGGGAACACATACATGCCTTATGCTGTTAGCCCCTAATTTCCGGGCATTATAAATGCACCTGCTCTAGTTTAAGCCCCACCACCACCACCACCACACGGCTGGGAGGAGCTGGGAAGGAAACTTAACACTCAGAAAGACCATCATGAGACTTAGGTTCTCCTGCTAGATGCTAGAGAGGGCTCCAGACCGTTTGGCCCCAAGCCCATTTCTTTACTCTGCATCTTTATCATAGAAGGGGCAGGGCAGCTCCATTTCAGAACTCTAGCAGATTGAACTGACTGTCTCAAAAATAGAGTGAGTGAGCCTCCTGTTACCAGAGACATTCAAGCAGACATTAAGTTAGAGATTGTCAAGGTGGGTGGGAGTAGAAGAGGCAAATTCGACTGCACCTTGTGACATGAACTCAAGTGCCCGTGTGAGATCAGCAGGCATTCTTGTTGTCCTTGTGGGAGAGTGAGTGTTCCCGCTCAGTGTCAATACCACATGAACCGGGGTTCATGTCTTTTCCAAAGCAGGTGTATATTGGGATTAGTTTCCTGACTTTGAAAGCCAGAAATTAAGCTGCCACTGTAAAACCCAAGGGCAAACACTCCTGGGAATAGGGACAGCCTTGGCCTGCAGGACTTAGGACCACTCCTCTGGTAGAAAAGTTATACCTAGCAAGTTGTCCCTGGGGTGTCAGGACTATGCAGGTCTCAGTCACAGCCCTTAGGGACACCCACTACCCTAGTGCCAGCTGCAGGAAACCCTTGCTGGTGGGGTGACATTGTTAGTGTCTAGGATTTGCATCCCCAGGTGATAGTGAAGCTGAGATGGCTTTGCTCACTATGCAAATGAGGAACTGGGGGCAGCTGGGGACACTTGAGGAACTAGGAGGGTGCCTGAGCCATTCTTAGAATTTGCTTCATACCCTAAGTCCTCCTTAGCCCTCCCTGGGATATGAGAGCTCCCTGAGAAGTGCTCAGATGTGCCCTCTCCTAAGAGTCTCCCTCCCTGGCCTCTGTTGTGCTGGGTGGCCGAAGGCTGTGGAGGGAGGAAGAAGCCATTAAATGTGATCCCGCAGGACCCTGGGAGAATGATACCTAGGTGATGGAGCAGCCACAGGGCCCTGGGAGGTCCATAGATGGGTTGGGGGCAGGGTCTTTCAGTCACTGAGCACACTCAGACTGCAGACTGGACCCCAGGGGGGGGGGGGGGTTGTGAGGGGGAAGGACGGAGAGAACCAGTGACTGAAGAGAAATCAGAGCTCTGAGAAAGATGTGTGCGAGGGTGTAGGGAGGGAGCGATCTGGCATATGTGTGATCTGGCAGCTGAGGTCCTGTCTCCTCTCCCTGATGTTTGTTGGTCCACAGGAGGGCTGGGTCTGCATAGGATCTTCAGGATGTACAGGAATAGTTGTTGAATGACCAGGTGTGGCTTGCAGAACCCTTGGAGAGGAGAGCTGAGCATTCCTGCCTCTCTTACCAGTACAGTGAAACTTTGATCTGCAAAGCAGGCAGGTCAAGGTGGGGAGGCTAGAAGCCTGGCTGAACTGAGCCACCTCGGGGTCAGTCCTCCTGGACCCACCTCCCCCTGGTTCACAAGGGCAGAGCTGGAGAGGGTGGACACTCCATAAACACCAATCTCCTCCAGGCCTAGGAGGAGACGGAGATCCAGTCGGAGCTTGCATTCTCAGTGTGAGACCATGCAACTTCCCTAGGCCTCAGTTTCCATTTTGCAATGTGCCACGTGGGTTGTTTTTACAGTGTTGCAAAAAGCATGGAGGAGGCTGGCATGGGCTCTGATCAGGGAGGGTGCCTAGCTCTCTGTAATAAAATGTGGCCTTGCCCTTGAAGAATAAAAGACCAGAGCAGAGGCAACCCAGCATAGAGCTAGTCCCACAGCCCAGTGCTGTCTATGCCACAGGAGACTCAGGCTGCATCTTCTACCCGCGTCCAGGCAAGAATGCTAAAGGCAGTGGATGCCACATATGTGATTCAAACTTTTCTCCAATATCACATTAAAAAGTAAAATGAAATAGTGACACAAGATACAAAAGTATATGTATAGACTGGATGTTGCCTGGGATGGAATATTAACTGGTGAATCTGTTCACTAATTCAGCCAGGCAGGCAGGCAGGCCGGCAGGCACATGCCTGTAATCCCAGGGGTTCAAGGTCATCTTAAGCTACATAATGAATTTGAGGCCAACCTGGGCTACATGAGACCACGCTTCAAAACAAAA